ACTCAACTATAAGTTGGACTAAAAGTCGTAGTTATAAAGTGATCAAATTTGAAATTCAAATATGGGTACCTAAAGAACATCTTACATGATGGGCCAACTGGTTAATTCACTAATGACAACCACTTAAGGCTTGCGTTAAGGATCGCTGTGCACTTTAGGATTTTTTCTGGGAGGGAAGGATAAAATTTTTGACACCATTCCTTACACCTCTCACACAGAGTTGATAGAGAAGAGAATGTGTTTTATGTTTGATTTGTTGTTTTATTGTGTTTTAGGTCACTTTGAGTGAATTTGATGATATATTTGGATGAAAACAGCAACCAAAGATGGAACTTGTGGAGTTTAGGACGATTAGAAGAGTATTTAGATGAGATTAGATGATATTTTATGAGCCCAATACGGCCTAGAGCATGAACTTGTTGTCAAGGAGTGCTTAGAAACCACTCACCCCTAAAAAACCGAAATAAAATAAAGTTTGAGTCAAACATGCCCCGTAGGACGGTCGTGGCCGTATTCGAGCCAGACTTTAGCACTATTTAATTTGATTTAGGGTTACGTTTCTCTGAAGGGGGGTGACTAGACTCGACCAAAAACCTATAAGTCAAGACATAGGGTAGAGGAAGAGGATTTTCCAGCAGCTCAACCCCATAAAAATTGATTGGGAGCAATCGTTCAAGGATTCTATCATAGAGATTTCTTCTTCTTCTATGTTTGTATTTTTTTTTATCCATGATGAACTAATCCCTCTTTTTACTTAGATTTTGTGGAACCCTAATCTTGTATGGTTAGATAGATGATTATTTGAGAACCTAGATATGTATGCCACGTGTCAAACAGACACTAGCTCATTACAAAATTAAGTACGGTAGTTTAACGACTAACTTGGCAATAAATAGAACGATAGTGTTTTAACATAAGCTATCGGAATTTAAAGAAAAAACGTTGCCGCTTTGTTCCTTCGAATTTATTCCATCTGCATTACTCCATCCTCATTAGTCCATCTCCTGCAGACATCAAACAATACTATATGGAGGTTCTACCTCCACACCCTCTCAAATTCATTTTTTCTGCCTCCTGCGCAACTTACGGAAGGACCATTGGGTCTTTTCATTTACTTCAGCTGGGCCTCTAGAGACCCTCTACTTCTTTCCAAGCAGGCGATAACAATATGAGATGGGCATGTAGGCTGTTACTCTCATACACCACGTCCAGACTTTTCCAATTCCCCAAAACTCATTCTTACACAATTGGATTCATTTAATCTAGCTGGGGATAGCAACAGGTCGAGGTAGATAGTGCATATCCATTATCCTATTGAAGTAATTCGGATTTTACCCATATTCATACCAACATAAGAATCGGGTTATAAATTAAAACAATCCCCATACCCGTTCAGGTTTCGGATAACCACAGTTATCTATGGCTAATAATTTCTTTTTATAACTCTAACCAATATGTTAACATCACACATGTAATCACTTTACATAAGAGGGAAAATACGACAATAAATCACTAAGAATGAAGAAAATTAATTAAAACAATACAATTCATTAAATTATTATATTTCTATGCTAAATGTAAAATATGAAGAGAAAAATAATTATTTTTTCTAGACAAAATACGTATTCATATGTGTAATCGTGCGGGTTCGGGTTGGATAGTGAGAAAATCATGTCCATCTATCACCCGCAATGCTCAATGTTCGGGTTCAAATTTTACCCTTACCCACTAAAAGTCTTCCGGATTCGAATTTTACCCTATCGATTATGTCGAATTCAGACGAATATCGAAGGTTACAGGTATTTTTGTCATCCCTAAATCTGACATCGAATCATTTATTATTGTAAGTACACTCGGTTACATAATTGCCTTCTCCAATAATAGACGTAGTATTCCATAATCCATATGTTGATTATTTGTTATCTTAAGAATGATTGTATATACTTTGCTTCTATTACTATTGCCATAGTTGTTGCTCTCTTGCATTCACATGCATATCCCCATTAAAATTTTGCTGATATTTCACTAAATTTAGTTTCTTTTCTTAATCCTTTCCCAATTCAAATTGCGTTCGTACTAACATGTTAATATATATTATTTGTACAAATTATTATTTTCAATTCACTTATATTAATGGTTGTTGTGGAACAATTAAATTACATTGAAGGCCTACAATTCAATCTTCTAAATTTAATTTCCAATTTTTACTAGGAATCCTATAGCCATGATGATATATACTGTAATTTCTATCCTAGAAAAAGTTGATCTCTGATTTTTATTCAATTACAAAATTCCTACATTAACTTTGTGCTTAGTACGTATATTGAGACTTACACTAAGATCCGTGTTGAAACAAAAATAACTTCTTACTGGTGTTTTTATGTAAGGTTAGGCCATATGATATTCAATCTAACAAATCAAAAGAGGAATTGAATGTTTTAATGTTGAGTTTCGTGAAAGTGGATGTCAATCAATCTCAACATAGATTATAGATATTAATCTTTGTTTCTATATGATAGCTATTGACTCAAAGGTATACCAACTACAATGACACAAATTCAAAATCTATTATTAAAATCTCACAATTATATCAATATGCTTATTTTACTTCTTCGGAAAATGATATTTGGTTGCAGATACCCAAAGGAAAAATCAAGGATTTTCAACCACTGTTTCATGATCAGAGAGTCTACACCATCAAGAACTTCAAGGTTATTCTGGCAACAGGAGATTACAGGCAATTACAAACAAATTGGCCTTCAAGTTTGAATCAAATACTAAGGTCCAAGCATGTGAAAATATTCCAGCCACACAAGCTTACAAATTTAATTAATCAAACAAGATGAGATTGACAAGAAGTGCAACCAAATAAAATTTCTTTTAGGTTCTAATTACTAATTTTGATTCAAATTTAATTATATTGATGAAAATTAATTAAATGATCATCAAATTTGCAGGCGCGAACACCTTCTCCTCAACTGGAGCAACCTTGCTGCTGGCAAATCAAAGAATTCCAAAATTTATTAATTTGTGCCAAGGTGAAATTCACGACAATATAATTATCGTATTTGGTTATGTCGTAAAGTATGAAGTTTAAAAAAGATAGAAGATATTAATTATCATTCTTTTTTAATGAAGTGGCTATGACACACTTATTCCAGTGCAAAGCCAAGGGAAAAGAGCAACAATTAATCTCAACTAAAACATTACACATGCTAGATAGATTAAAAATGATATATTGAGAAGAGGTAAGTATCATTTTCGATTTAACAATCTCCGTTAACTATGATATGCTAACACTTAATGTAAGATTTAGGAAAATATATATTCGTTCAAATGCAAAGTTGTCAGAATTAAGAATGGGTGGTGGTATGCTAGATGCAACACATGTCCATAAAAACTCGAAGAAGACTCAAATGGGTACTTTTATGTAAACTGTACAACAACATTAAGAATAAATATAGCTAAATAATGCAGCCATTATTAATGGAAAAATGGATTTTATATAGTTTGTTGATAAATAATTAAATATACATGCCAAATGGATGAATGTTTACAACATAGTTTATATTATTTTCTTCATTGAATGCATACATATATTACCATTGCATGGTACTAATACATGATGAAAGGATATGTACATATTATATATTGTTAATATAAAGAGATTCCAGGAGATTGGCGGTACGATAGTCTTCTACTCACATTTTGGTTTGTATAGGGACATAAAATGATGTGATTGTTTGATTGGCGTGGCTTCCCTATATAATTCCATTTTGAAACATTATCTTCTGTGATGGTCTGCATGTTTATATCTTGACGGTGGGATGGTCATTTGCATCTTTTGGATACTGTTAAAAAAACGCATATTCTTTTCAACTATCTTACCCTACGAAACTAATTTCCAATTATTAATTGAATAATTTTGAGTTTTGAATTTACCAACTATAAATAACATATTTCAAAAATATTTATTGTTTTTATGACATTACCATCTTATACAGATTTAGTATCCATCTTCGAGTTGTGCACAAAACAACACAAGTGGACTTTGTTGCTATGGATGGATCGGGAGCTCGATTTTTTGGATGTCAGCTGAAAGACTATTCCAAGATAACGATAAAGTTAGAGGACCACCACCTTCTCATTTCCTAATAATTATGGAAATGACCTTGAAGTTCCGCATCAATCTCACCGATTACAAAATCGCGAATCCAACAAGTGCGTACACAATTTTTCAGGATAGGGGAAGAAGGAAGAGATTGTTGAAAGGAAGGAGAAGAAATAAGAGACAATTGATGATGCAGATAAATGTGTCACTAATGGAGATGAAGACATTATGATTAGTGGAGACGATGATGTTGCTCATGGCGAAGAAAATGCATACAACTCAAAAAGAAAAATGTAGCAATCTTAGATGATGAGTACCTATAAGAGTCATTTTAAACTGTCTTTAGAAGTCGATTCCCTTTCATGGATTTTTCTTTCATTTTCGTAAAAGAATTTTATTCGTTTAATCATTAAATTTTCATAAAACAGTATGATATTGATCCTTTTAAATTGTTGAAGAATTTTAATAATTGAGATTTTCTTATTCTACAAATGAATTCGAATATTTAAAGTATTTAATGAATAAAGATTTTCTTATAATAATGTGTAGTTCGGATACAAATTGGTATTGAAATTTACGTTATTCTCAAATGAATCCGGCCAACTGACCGGGCCCGTGACTAGTTCTCTTATTATTCATATTTAGAGACCCTGTAGTTGATAATTCGATAACGGGAGAGTATTCCTATGGAAATATAATTATCCTTGACGAGCACTCTACCACTACCTTCACCAAAAGAATAAGGACCAATAGAAATTAAAGCACTTAAACTTATTCAGGCTGGAAAAAAAAGCTCAGTAACGTGAGAGAAAATTGCGTCTCTCTGGCTTGCACACTACATATATTCTCCTATAAAATATAAATATAGAGTACGTGAAACCGCTATTACATTAGATGCCACATATGATACACATACATGGAATATATATATGTGTGTGACCTTAATCTCCACAAACAACACCATTACTCAAAACTCTCGACATACAAGAAAGAAAAAGGGAAGCCAAAATTAACATGTCGCCGCCGCCGTCTTCACCGCCGGAGCTGCCACTAAAACCCATCCCGGGCAGCTATGGCTTGCCGTTCCTGGGCCCCATGAGAGACCGCCTAGCTTACTTCTACTACCAAGGCAGCGACGAATACTTCGCCTCCCGCATCCGCAGCCACAACCACTCCACCGTCATCCGTACCAACATGCCGCCGGGGCCTTTCGTCGCTGCCGACTCCCGAGTCGTGGCGCTCCTCGACGCCGCCTCGTTCCCCGTCCTGTTCGACAACTCCAAGGTGGAGAAGATGAACGTCCTCGACGGGACCTACGCGCCTTCCGTCGACTTCACCGGCGGCCTCAGGATGCTGGCTTTCCTCGATACCAGGGACCCCAAGCACGCGCTTCTCAAATCATTGGTGATGTCGTTCCTCGCTTCCAAGCGCGACGTCTTCATTCCTCTCTTCCGAGGTTCTCTCTCCCGGATGTTCCAGGCCATCGACGGTCAGTTCGCCGCCACAGCGACGGCGCGGGTCAACTTCAACGGCCTCAGTGAGGAGATGGTGTTTGGTTTCTTGTTTCGCCTCTTCTGCGACGGTAAGGTATATATCTCTAATTTGTTTTTTATTGTTTATATATTTTTAGGGTTAATATATATGAAGCAACTAGGGGTGAACAAACACACCCGCAAATCGACCCACCCGTCCAACCCGACCCAACCCACCCGTATTTATTGCTAAATCGAAGATTTTGGGTTGGGTGAGGGTTTTCTTTTGTACAACCCGCCTCTTTTGGGTTGGGTTTGGATTTTGGATTACACAACCCGTAGAACCCGACCCAACCCGTGTTTCAATTATTGGTATGAGTTCGTATCCAAAAAATATTTATGTCGTATATAGTCATACTTATGAGAAAATTAAGATATTTCGCCATGTTTTCCTCTTTAAGTCTCACTAATCTAATGCATTCTTTGACTTAAAGTTTAGACATATATTTAATATAGTTATGATTCACGTAATTTTTTTTTTCTTTTGTACAAGTTTAAAAGAATATCATATTATGGATGCGTTCATTTGTAACCTTTTTAGCCTATTTCAACAAATGTCGTGAAAAAAACTAGACATAAGTTGAAGTAAATCAAGTTTTACTAAACTTCAAACAATATTTGTGAATTTTGATACCTTTCACCTCGGTTTATTCGTTTGAAATTTTTAATTAGTTATACAATATATTTATGATGTAGAATAATTACATATTTTGTGTTGGGTTGGGTTTTTACTTAAAAATATCGCCAACCCGACCCAACCCAATTAGAAACAAACCGTAGGGTTTAGATTTTTTTGGGTGGGTTTGGGTTTCATATTTCCCAAACCGTAGTGCATGGATCGGGTGATTAAAATGTCTAAACCCGAACCACCCGACCCATGTACACCCCTAGAAGCAACGTTGGATATTTCTAAAATCTAGGGCTTCAAATTTTAATTACGCCGACATATATATTATATTCTGAATACAAATGCCTTCACCGCTAGGTAGCCATTAATTATTTTCTCAAAATTGTTCTCATTATGTATTTGGGTTGGTCAAATAAGTTTGCACAACATTACGTAAATTTTGTCTTGTTGACTTTCTTCTAGAAGAGATTGAATATTTGCTTATGAGTATTTTTTTGGTGATGATAATTAATTTAGAAATGTTTGTGAAGTATATGGATCATAGTGAAGTTAGGATTAGAAAATTATTCAAAAATTTCAAATTAAATGCATATATTTGAAATACGCTTCTAATGCAACGATTTTATAGTGCTCAATAATATCGGTGATTGCATTAAAAAACATTTTATTTTACAAACGGAACTTGTACCTTTTAAAGCTATGATAAAAATTAATTTAATTTGTACCTATAACTTTCTCTATTTTTTGTATGATACAAACTGAACTCATAATTTTAACTTTATCATACAAATTCAACTTGTGTCGGGAACCACGTACATACTCCTATGACAGTCGACGAGCTCACAATACAACAGCTTAGTTTATACAGCATGTTGACCCCTACATCAAACGTAAGATGGACATAAGTTGTTGGATGTAATTATTTTATCATCCATTACTCAACATCATCTTATCACTCTTCTTCTTATTATAAATTAATAAATATGACATGTTGTTAACTTTTGGTTTGTACTAGGATCCATCGGAGACGGAGATCGGAACCCGTGGGCCGGTCCATGTCGACAAGTGGAACGCCCTCCAAGTCATCCCAATCACAGCCCCACGCCTTCTCCCAAAGTGCCTCAGCTTCATCGAAGACTTTTTCCTCCACACGTTTCCCTTCCCCTTCTCCCTCGTCAAATCCGACTACTCCAAGCTGTACGCCGCGTTTAACAAACACGCAGAAACGTTTCTCGACCGAGCTGAGTCAAACTTTGGGATCCCAAGAGCCGAAGCCTGCCACAACCTCGTATTCATAGCCGGCTTCAACGCCTACGGCGGATTCAAGCCGTTCTTCCCATCCCTGATCAAGTGGGTCGCCAACGCAGGACACAAACTGCACCGCCAGCTAGCTGGCGAGATCAGAGTCGTCGTCCGCGGCCACGGCGGGAAGGTCACTCTCGGAGCGTTGGATGCGATGACTTTGACCAAGTCGGTGGTCTACGAAGCGCTAAGGATCGAGCCTCCGATCCCGTTCCAGTACGGGAGGGCCAGGGAGGATATGGTGGTCCGCAGCCACGACGCGGCCTACGAGGTCAAGAAGGGGGAGATGTTGTTTGGATATCAGTCGTTCGCCACGAGAGATCCGACGATTTTCGATCGTCCCGAGGAGTTTGTCGGGGATCGGTTCGTGGGTGGACGAGGGGAGAAGAAGCTGTTGTTGAGGGATGTGTACTGGTCCAACGGTCGGGAGACGGATGATCCGACGGCTGAGAACAAGCAGTGCCCGGCGAAGGATCTCGTGGTGCTGATGTCCAGGGTACTGTTGGTGGAGCTGTTCCTGAGGTATGATGGTTTGACGGTTGAGATTGAGTCGCTGCCGCTTGGGTCGTCCGTCACGATTACTTCGCTGAACAAAGCTACGTCCGTCTGATGACAACGGGTCATGGCGAATTTGAAGCGCGGCCCATAAATGATGACTACAACAACCCATTTTAGGTACTCAATCACTTATCTTAGCGTGGGTCGGCCATCTATCAGTTTATAATTGGAAAATAAACATATTCCCGGATTTTCCCCTGTAAATTATGTATTTTAGAATAAATATTATCTAAACTACTGTTGTGAAAAATATTCTTCTCCATCTACTATTGTAAAAGAATAATTCATGCGTCATCGCCTTTAATTAGGTTCCGCACCCCAATTCGTCTTTATACCGGCCAATTAGTGTTTTTTCGCCCAAATCCGTTAAAACTATCTTTAAACTCGATACGTCTAGTCCAGATCAGACCATATATACGATCTATGATCTAGACCGAGAGGCTGGAGTATAGACCACAGACCAGACCATAGACTATACGGTTCGGTCCAGACCACGCATGTACGGTCTGGTCCATATAGACCACACTCAACAAAAAATGAAAATTTTATTTAGTCAACCACACAAAAAGTTAGAACCAATAACCAAGGAAAACAATATTTTTTTGTATTAGAAAAGAACAGGGAAGCCATGTCTATAAATTGACCATTTTAGTGATTGTTTAATCCCAAACAAGGATAAGAAGACAAAGTTGTACTTGTATACGAAACAGATCTCCTACTTCTCGAGCACTCTTCGTACTATATATACTAGCAAGCATATTAGTTCTTACCAGTCTGCATACTAAACGAGGAGATGGAAGGGTAGAACGGGTAAAACGGGTACCCCTAATACCCAAATGGGTATTAACGGGTAACCCGCGGATACCCATTGTAGAACTTCTCGATCCCAAGTCCCATCCCGTAGAAAAAATTAGGGATATTTGGGTACCCGTTACCCTAAAAAAACGGGACGGGTATGGGTAGACCCAAATACCTGTTTCCCGTTGCCCACCCCTAGTTTGGTCCGGTAAATCGCGGTCTAGACCAGACCAAACCAAGAAATCAAAACATCAAATATTACAGACCATGGACCAGACCATACCATAATTAATGATCTACGCTCCGGACCAAACTATACGGTCCGGTTTGGACCATTGTTTTTCTAACGGTATGGTCTATTTTCCCAGCCCTACTCTTCTTCTCCAAAACTATCCTCCCACCACCGAAAATGGCCAGAAAAAAAAAACAGAAAAATAAAGTTCCCGACGAGAACTATTGTCTTCTTCTCCAAAACTCTCCTCCCACGACGAGGCTTCGCACATTAGCAGTAAGAGGCTGACGACTTTTTGTTCTATTTTAGCATTATTATTACGATTATTGTTGTGTTTTATTTTTCTTTAGCTCCTACAATGTATCAATATTCAATATTAATGCACATCAAGAATGCTAAATCAACCCCAATTGAAAATAAATTATCATGGGCAGATGGTGAACATCGACTTGATTTAGTTTGGTAGAATGAGATAGGTATTTTAATTTACAAATTAAAAGTTATTTAATTTTGTTTGAGTTAGTATGAATTAGTATAGTATTTTATTAGTGACTAGGAATAGATTGAATTAGAATCCTCTTGAGTTAGTATGAATACAACTATGTTTATTATAGTTAAGTTTATTATTTATATACTTTAATTAAGTTATTTATATAATTATGAATTAACTAATAGGTTATTTTTATTTGTAAGTTTATAACTATATACTTTCATCAAGTTATCTTAACTATATAAGTAATTTGTTAGTGACTTATTCATTTATTAGTTACATGATGACGCATAGGCTTTGGTTCGTTCATATATATAAGACTCGAGGTACGCATATATTAGGCAAGTATTACGAGGAGTATGGACCATACATTCGGGGTGCTAGTAGTAAGAGTATGGTATAGGATCCATATAACCTTCTCCCAATAAATCTATCTTTCCTACTGGTTGCTCCTCATTCCTCAATACATTAAATGCTGAAAAAGAAAAACAATGCTGAAAAACAGCTTCCAATCCTGCCGTAAGATATTTGCTAATTTTTTATTAGATTGATATTTGCTACAACTATTAAAAGAATAAAATAAAACAAAGGCTAAGGTGAAATTTCAATGATCCCCAATATTCATTTTCTGCCATATAAAATACTTAAGATCTAACAACTAAATGAAAATTGGCTCCATTTGGGCACTCCAGTACTCGTACAATTCTCCATCGAAAATGGGAATTTGATTAGAGGAGGTAGCAAACATGGTGTTTGTTGAAGTTGTTGTCATGGCTTTTTTAGAAGATTTGGGTAGGATAGAAAAATGGGGATTTAAGAGGATAGAAGGGTATTAAGCTCTGATACCAAATTTGTTGGGTATTAGCGGAATTGTGGTGAAAAATAGGATCAAGACAAAGGAAACATTTGGTGTTTAATCACTTATTTAGAAAACACTCAATGTTTGAAAATACACTAACCAAACAAGGCCTTAACTTGGCACTTGTTATTATAGTGCACAACTTTGTGCTTCTTTCCTTTCTTTTGTTTTTTCTTTCAAGCTCTCTCACTGCTAACTCCTTCTTCCCATACTTATATATATATATACTTATATATATATATACTTATATATATATATATTTATATATATATATATATATATATAGGGAATGGAAGAAGTAAACTAATAATACTTCTATTACACATCATACAGAAGAGTTGATAATGCATTTGGCTCATATAATAAAAGCTTTGTCTTCTCTTCCTTCCAATCCATTCTCATACGACAGTAGCATATGCATATACATGTATGCATTAATCTATCATGGCCCATGCATAAGTGCAGTAGTTGGCTTCTCTTGTCAAATGTCTTTGGCTGTGCAATCCAATCTCCATAATTCATCCATTATTTTGATTGCATAATGCAAATATTTATTGTTGTTCATAATTCATTGATTTGATAATAATGAGACCTACCATGTGCAATGTTTAGTGATGATAGGGTTGATTTCAAATTACCATTCAACACCCCCTCTTAATTTGCAATCTGGAGAAGCTTTTTGAACTTCTCACGGGTAACCGCCTTTGTCATGATATCTGCTGGCTGGTCGTCGGTGTTGATAAATTCCATCACGATTAATCCTTCATTGACGAGGTCTTGGAAAAATTAGACCATCCCACCCAAAAACAACTCGGAACCTAAAGAGAAGATAGTTCAATCTACAAGAAGCTGGCAGAGCTTTTAGCTATTGGACTACATCCATCTATCCTACCTAAACGGTAAGCCTTTTCTTGTGTGTTCTTCGAATGACGCTAGTGGAGACAAATTCCTTCCGGCTAATGAAGATACTACTCCAGTCAAATGATGACGCAACTCGATATGCTTTGATCTTGCGTGGGATACTGGATTCTTTGTCATGGCTATGGCTGACATGTTGTCACAATGAATAATGGTTGGACCATTTTCACTTTGCTGCAAATCAGAAATTAATCTTTTTAGCCATACCGCTTCGCATGCTGCATCTGTAGCTGCGATATATTCTGCTTTTGCTGAAGATAATGCCCCTGTCTTTTGCTTCTTTGAACTCCAGGAAATGGGTTTTGAACCCAGGCAGAATATGTACCCGGATGTGCTTTTTCGATCATCCAGTGATTCTGCCCAGTCACTATCGGTATATCCAGTCAGCTTGCTTTCTGCTTCTTTCTTGTACGTTAGGCCCAATTTTTTAGTACCTTGAAGATACCGCAAAATTCTTTTGGCTGCTGCAAAATGAAGTTTGCTAGGTTCATTCATAAATCTTGATATAAGACTTACTGAATGACATATATCCAGCCTGGTATGTGTCAGGTAAATGAGTGACCCGACAAGACTTCTGTACAGCTTTCCATCGACCTTTTCAGCTCCATCATTCCGTTGTAATTTCTCGTTCAACGCCATCGGTGTTGAGACTAGTTTGCATGTTGCCATGTGAAATCTTTTCAGCATATCTTCGGTGTACTTCTCCTGTGAAATAAATATTTCTCCAGGCGACTGCTTCACTTGGATCCCAAGAAAATACTTCATGAGTCCCAAGTCCGTCATCTCGAATTCTCTCATCATGGTTGATGACTCGGTATTTGCACATGTTTTCCCCTTTGTTTCTTGATTGTTTGAGCTTGAATTATCGTGTCTTTGGCCTATTTTACGCTAGGTTGTGTTCCTTTGTCACATTTCAGGTCCTAGCACATAAAGTGAAGCGTAGGCGCAAGTTTCAAGTCAATCAGAGATCAATTGACGATTCGGGAGAAGAAACTCGGGTATGACCTGAAAAAGAATGAATTTCTACCTCACTTTATGGACAAAGAATCATGCAAGCTTATCTCGAAAAGAAAGAGGACGAGACTACGAGCGTCTGGGATCAAACGGCGACTGATTCGGAGTCCGGACGAGGGAGAAACGAAGCATTAAACAGAGGCTGAGCAAGCCACACGGGCACAACCCACACGGGCGTGTGACCTGGCCATGTGGCCGTGTGGAAATCACCGAGCCTTCACACGGGCAGCTGGGAAAGCCACACGGCCGTGTGGCCTGGCCGTGTGAGTCAGAAATTGCTGTTTAAAACCCAATTTTCAGCAAAAGGAAAGGGGGAGAGCTGGGTTTTGGATCCCAAACACCCAAGGGACGAACCCTAGAGAGAGAGAGCGACTTGGGAACATTCTTGGAGCTATTTTGGAGGATTTCTTCGCCATTGGAGCTCGGGAATCAAGCTTGGAGATGGAGATTAAAGATCTAGATCAGATTTCTGCAGTCTCTCTCTTCTCTATGGAGTAACTTCCCTTCACTTAGTTTTGAGGAACCCTAGTTCCATGAGTTAGGATCTTTCTTGTATGAAGTTTTGGATGCTATATTGTTTGATTATAATCGATTGAGGCATGATTTATTGAGTCAATTGAATCTTGATCAAATTCTCTTGATTTCTGCTTTAACCTATGATAGATAGAATCTGATTAGGTTAAGAGAGCTTCCTTGATTGATAGTGGTGAATTGATTGTGCGAGAGTCAATCAATTCACTGCTTTGTACTGGAATTCATTCCACTAGTGGAGATCTGTGTGAATCGCCTTAGCAGTCTATCCCGGTGAAGGCTAGTCTCCTGTCGGGTATTCTGTCTGAGAGGGCTTGGTCAGCTTAAGAGATTCCAAGCTAATTTAGGATCTTCCGCAGTTTAATCAACAGTAGATCAACCAAAGGTAATTGCAACTTGGACCTAATTGAGGAGCTAGGGGGAATCATACCAAAGTGAGTTCCCAACTTGTAATTAGTAGAGTAGTTAGTAGAGTAGTTTAGTAAATCACTCCTTAATCTAGTTTGCTAGATAATGAACTGAAGCTGAGTAATAGTAACTCTAGAGACCCGTGGATTCGATATTTATTACTTGTGCCACTATACTGCAGTCCCTTTCATTGGTTACACTTAGCCATTGTTAGGTGTTGTATTTTAGCGTGTCAATGGTACTTTTGAATTCTTCGATCATATGCTGACTTGTACCTGTTTAAATCAAGTCATCAACATATAAACAAACCATTAGAAAATCTTTTCCTTCTCCCTTTTTGATGTAGAGAGATGCTTCACTCGGACATCTTTGAAATCCGTTTTGCTGAAAATATCGATCGATTATGCTGTTCCAGGCTCTCGGTGCTTGCTTCAGCCCGTATAAATCCTTTCGGAGACGATAGACTTTGTCTTCTTCTCCTTTTTTCTCATAGCCTCATGGTTGCTCCACATAGACTTCTTCTTCCAGTTTTCTGTTCAGAAATGCTGATTTGACATCCAACTGGTATACTGGTAACTCCAGTTGAGAAGCTAGAGCGAGAACTGTTCTGATGGTCTCCATCCTCGCTACTGGTGCATATGTCCTGTGAAAATCAATACCGAGCTGTTGTGAATAGCCTTTTGCCACCAGTCGAGCTTTGTACTTCTGGATAGTACCATCTTCATTGAATTTGATCTTATAGATCCATTTGAGACCTATAACCGGCTTGTCCTCCGGTTGATCAACAAGCTCCCATGTCTTGTTTTTCTCGATCATGGAAATTTCTGCATCCATTGCTTGGTTCCAAACTTCTTCTTTGGCTGCTTCTTCAAAGACTTGAGGTTCACAAGAAAAATATGCAACATGACTTGTTTCATAAATTTCTTGTAAAGACCTTGTTTTTAACGGAGGTGAATCCGAGTCTGTTACGACGTCTCTCAAGTTGTCTCCTTCTAGGGTAGGTTCAAAATTTCTTTCTGGACTAGCAACTGGATCTGGGTCGTTGCTGGGGTCTTCTGGAGTTGCTGAGTCCTCCAGAATTCATAACTTGGTGGAGATTGAGAAATTGGATTTTCCCAATTCCACTCCGCCATCTCATCAAAGATCACATCTCGTGAAACCACCACCTCGTTCTTTACTGGGTTGTAAAGACGATAGCCCTTGGATTCATCATTGTAGCCGGTGAAGATCAGCTTCTCTCCCTTCTGGTCAAACTTGTCTCGGTTTGGGGTAGAAATATGTTCATAAGCTATGCACCCAAAGACTTTAAGGTGATCCACCTGTGGCCTCCTGTGGTGCCACGCATGTATCGGTGTCTTGTTCCGAACTGCATTGGTTGGTGATCTGTTGAGGATGTAAGTTGTTGTATTGACCGCTTCTGCCCACAAGTTGTTGGGAAGCTTCTTTGCTTTGAGCATACTTCTCGCCATCTCCACAATCGTGTGATTTTTCCGTTCTGCCACGCCATTTTGTTGTGGTGTGTAACGGACCGCCAGCTGCCTTTCTATCCCGTTGTTGCGGCAATACTCCATGAACGGAGTATAAATAAATTCTCCTCCACGATCTGTACGGAGAGTTTTGATTTGATGGCCACTTTCCTTCTCAGCTACTGCTTGGAATTGAAGGAATTTGGGAAAAGCTTCTGACTTTTGCTCCAGAAAGAATACCCACATCATTCTGGTGAAGTCATCTACAAATAGTAGAAAATATCTTTTACCGCTGAGTGATTGTGTTCGGGTTAGACCGCATATGTCTGCATGTACCAACTCCAGTGGCGCTTTTGCTCTCCAAGATGTCTTAGGAAATGGTAAACGATGCATTTTGCCATATATGCATCCTTCACATATTTTATCTTCTCTGTTGATCTGGGGAAGTCCCACCACCATATTTTTCTGCCACAATAATTTGAGACCTTTGAAGTTGAGATGACCATATCTGAGATGCCATAGGAAGGATTGATCCAGATTTTCACTCTTGAATGCTACTTCACCATTTTGTGACATAGCAAGAGAGAAAATTCTGTTGGAAGTCATCGGGACTTTGGCCACCATGAAATTTTCTGTTTTGTTGATAATCTCGCAAACGCCATTATCAAACAATAGATTTTAATTTTTCAGCATCAGTTGTCCCACGCTAAGTAGATTGAGAGTTAGCTCCGGAACATACAAAACATCTCGAATGAGAGTTTTGTTGCCTTCTTCTGTGCATACAACAACTGTGCCTTTTCCTTCCACTTTTAGCTTCTTCCCGTCTCCCAATTTGACTTGCGAGCGGTATTTTTCATCGATGTCAGTGAAGGACTCCAGATCTCCAGTCATGTGGTTACTGCACCCACTATCCACCATCCAGGGAAGCTGTGATTTTTGCTCACCATTCAAGCATGACAAAGCCACCATATTGCTTTCTTCATTTTATGTGTCACTTGACTCGCCATCTTCTTGCTTGTTCTGGAACCAGCAATCTCTCTGGGAGTGGTTTTGAATTTTTCACTTAGAGCACTTGTATCTGCAGTCTTTTGTTGCACGACCCGCCTTTTTGCAAATTATGCAACTCGAGCCGGTGTAGGCCGATCTTTGTTGTTGATAATTTTGTCTGTTGTTTCCTCTGTAATTGGATCTTCCTCTTCCTCTTCCTTGTGAGTTTCCCCCTCTCTGGCCTTGCTCCGATTTGGCATATTTACTTTCCGTCATGTTGACTTTTGACGAGAAAGCTTGCTCCAATGGCGGTTTGGTGAAGCGGCTCATTCTTTGCTCGTGTGCTACAAGTAAGCCCATCAACTCGCTCATTGGTAGACTTGCCAAATCTTTGGTTTCTTCAATGACAGCAACAATATGCTCGAACTTTGATGACAAATTGCGAAAAATTCTCTCCATAATTTTTCTTTCTTCCATGACGTCACCGGTGGCTTTGATCTGGTTAACTATCTCCGCCACACGCGAATGGAAGTCTTTGATGGTATCGGTTTCCCTCATCATCAAGTTGTCGAACTGGCGCCATAAACTTTGTCGCCTGATGGAGATAGACTTTTCAGAACCTTGAAATTGTTTACGCAAGACATACCAAGCTTCTTTGGCCTTTTTGATGCCATAGATTCTTAGGTAAATAGATTTGCTCACTGCTTGCTGAATGATTCTCAAGGCGCTGGCATTTTGCTTGGCATTCTCCTTGTACTCCTTTGTCTGCTTGCCTGCTCGTTTCTTCGAGTCTTCATCCTCGTCTTGTGGATCTTCGTAGCATTCTTGGACGATATCCCACAGATCTTGAGAGATGGAAATTGGCTCCATTTGGGCACTCTAGTACTCGTACAATTCTCCATCGAAAACGGGAATTTGATTAGAGGAGGTAGCAAACATGGTGTTTGTTGAAGTTGTTGTCATGGCCTTTTTAGAAGATTTGGGTAGGATAGAAAAATGGGGATTTAAGAGGATAGAAGGGTATTAAGCTCTGATACCAAATTTGCTGGGTATTAGCAGAATTGTGGTGGAAAATAGGATCAAGACAAAGGAAACATTTGGTGTACGTTTAATCACTTATTTTAGAAAACACTCAATGTTTGAAAATATAGAAACCAAACAAGGCCTTAACTTGGCACTTGTTATTACACGGCACAACTTTATGCTTCTTTCCTTTCTTTTGTTTTTTCTTTCAAGCTCTCTCACTGCACTCCTTCTTCCCATACTTACATATATACATATTGGAAATGAAAGAAGTAAACTAATAATACTTCTATTACACATCATACATAAGAGTTGATAATGCATTGGCCCATATAATAAAAGCTTTGTCTTCTCTTCCTTCCAATCCATTCTCATACGACAGTAGCACATGCATATACATGTATGCATTAATTTATCATGGCACTGCATAAGTGCAGTAGTTGGCTTCTCTTGTCAAACGTCTTTGGCACTGCAATCCAATCTCCATAATTCATTCATTATTTTGATTGCATAATGCAAATATTTATTGTTGTTCATAATTCATTGATTTGATAATAATGAGACCTATCATGTGCAATGTTTAACGATAATAGGGTTGATTTCAAATTACCATTCAACAATATATTCTCCTATAAAATATAAATATAGAGTACGTGAAACCGCTATTACATTAGATGCCACGTATGATACACATACATGGAATATATATGTGTGTGACCTTAATCTCCACAAACAACACCATTACTCAAAACTCTCGACATACAAGAAAGAAAAAGGGAAGCCAAAATTAACATGTCGCCGCCGCCGTCTTCACCGCCGGAGCTGCCACTAAAACCCATCCCGGGCAGCTATGGCTTGCCGTTCCTGGGCCCCATGAGAGACCGCCTAGCTTACTTCTACTACCAAGGCAGCGACGAATACTTCGCCTCCCGCATCCGCAGCCACAACCACTCCACCGTCATCCGTACCAACATGCCGCCGGGGCCTTTCGTCGCTGCCGACTCCACGAGTCGTGGCGCTCCTCGACGCCGCCTCGTTCCCCGTCCTGTTCGACAACTCCAAGGTGGAGAAGATGAACGTCCTCGACGGGACCTACGCGCCTTCCGTCGACTTCACCGGCGGCCTCAGGATGCTGGCCTTCCTCGACACCAGGGACCCCAAGCACGTGCTTCTCAAATCATTGGTGATGTCGTTCCTCGCTTCCAAGCGCGACGCCTTCATTCCTCTCTTCCGAGGTTCTCTCTCCCGGATGTTCCAGGCCATCGACGGTCAGTTCGCCGCCACAGCGACGGCGCGGGTCAACTTCAACGGCCTCAGTGAGGAGATGGTGTTTGGTTTCTTGTTTCGCCTCTTCTGCGACGGTAAGGTATATATCTCTAATTTGTTTTTTCTTGTTTATATATTTTTAGGGTTAATATATATGAAGCAACGTTGGATATTTCTGAAAACTAGGGCTTCAAATTTTAATTATGCCGTCAATACAAATGCGTTCGCCGCTATCTAACCATTAGTTATTTTGTCAAAATTGCCCTGTTGATTTATTTGGGTGGGTCAGATATGTTTGCACAACATTACGTGAGTTGTGTCTTGCTGACTTTTTTCTAGAAGATATTGAATATTTGATTATGAGTAAAAGTATGATTTAGTAATGCTAATCAATTTATGAAGTATGTGGATCATCGTGAGGTTAGGATTAGGAAATTACTTAACGCTTTTAAATCAGATACATATATTCAAAATACACATGTAAGGTTAAGTACCTATTTATTTTTCTTTGATAAATAAAACGTAAGGTTAAGTACATATTTATAGGAGAGCTTCCATAAATCAACATGGTAACCCTACCCGAGTCCGACTCCTACTTGTTAAACAAGAATAATAATCTGAATACTTAATCCGATAATACAAATAAATCGAGAGAATAACCAAAAAATATAATAATGAGCAGACCGACTTTACCCTTCCGCCGCTCGGTCCGCTAAAATACTTCAAAAAAATATTTTACAATGTTCAATTTTCTGTTACAAACTGAACTTGTACTTTTGATATTATAATATAAATTCAGATCATACCAAAATCATTCCGTTTGAAAACCTTTATACTACAAAAAGGAACTCGTATTTTTAACATTAAAAAACAAATTCAACTTATAGTAGATCAACTCACAATACAACCTTGATTTATCCCACATGGTGATCCTTCAATCGTAGCTAATTAAGATGGGTAGAAAGTTGTTGGATATAATTATTTTATCATCCATAACTCAACATCCTCTCCCGACGATCGCAGTCATGCAATAATAAAAATTCTCTTCTTATTATACATTATTAATTAAAATATTGCATGTTGTTAATTTTTTGGTTTGGCTAACAATATGTACTAGGATCCATCGGAGACGGTGATCAGAATACATGGCCCGGCCCACGTCGACAAGTGGAACGCCCTCCAGGTTATCCCAATCACAGCACCACGCCTTCTCCCAAAGTCCCTCAGCTTCATCGAAGACTTTTTCCTCCACACATTTCCCTTCCCCTTCTCAAATCCGACTACTCCAAGCTGTACGCCGCGTTTAACAAACACGCCGAAACGTTTCTCGACCAAGCCGAGTCGAGCTTCGGGATCCCAAGAGCCGAAGCCTGCCACAACCTCGTATTCATAGCCGGCTTCAACGCCTACGGTGGATTCAAGCCGTTCTTCCCATCCCTGATCAAGTGGGTCGCCAACGCAGGACACAAACTACACCGCCAGTTGGCTGGCGAGATCAGAGCCGTCGTCCGCGGCCACGGCGGGGAGGTCACTCTCGGAGCGTTGGATGCGATGACTTTGACCAAGTCGGTGGTCTACGAAGCGCTGAGGATCAAGCCTCCGATCCCGTTCCAGTACGGGAGGGCCAGGGAGGATATGGTGGTCCGCAGCCACGACGCCGCCTACGAGGTCAAGAAGGGGGAGATGTTGTTTGGATATCAGCCATTCGCCACGAGAGATCCGACGGTGTTCAATCGTCCTGAGGAGTTTGTCGGGGATCGGTTCGTGGGTGGACGAGGGGAGAAGAAGCTGTTGTTGAGGGATGTGGACTGGTCCAACGGTCGGGAGACGGATGATCCGACGGCTGAGAACAAGCAGTGTCCAGTGAAGGATCTCGTGCTGCTGATGTCCAGGGTACTGTTGGTGGAGCTGTTCCTAAGGTATGATGGTTTGACGGTTGAGATTGAGCCGCTGCCGCTTGGGTTGTCCGTCACGATTACTTCGCTGAACAAAGCTACGTCCGTCTGATGATAACGGGTCATGGCGAATTTGAAGCGCGGTCCATAAATGATGACTACAACAACCCATTTTAGGTACTCAGTCACTTATCTTTGCTTGGGCCGGCCATCTATCAGTTTATAATTGGAAAATAAACATATTCCCGGATTTCCTCCTGTAATACTGTATTTTAGAATAAATATTATCTAAACTACCATTGTGAAAAATGTTCTTCTCCATCTACTATTGTAAAAGACTAATTCATGCGGCATCGCCTCTAATTGGGTTCCGCACCCCAATTCGGCTTTATACCGCCCAATTAGTGTTTTTGTCGGCCAAATTCGTTAAAACTATCTTTATAGTAGGGCTGGGAAACGATACGGTCTGGTCCAGATCAGACCATATATACGATCTATGGTCTAGACCGAGAAGCTGGAGTATAGACCACAGACTATACGGTTCGTTCCAGATCACGCATGTACGGTCTGTCCATATAGACCACACTCAATGAAAAATGAAAATTTTATTTAGTCAGCCACACAAAAAGTTGGAACCAATAACCAAGGAAAACAATATTTTTTTGTATTAAAACATTAATTCTAACATGCATGAATAATTTTGACACCCTAAATCTTAGTACATAACAAAGATACAAAGTAAAAGCATCCCAACGTGCACCATAATGTCACAAACATTAACTTAATTTCATATAGAGACACGATTATCTCTACTCTCTAGTGAAATGTAGTTGTGAATGAAGGAAGGGACGAGATTCTCAAAATTAAGGCTGAGACTTGGGTGTCGTTGTGAGAGTTGGGAGAATGGTCAAATGTTAACACGTATTGAAAAGTCGCTTGGGTCCATGGTTTGGTCTAGGGGTGGAAAACAGGACGGGATTGGATACCCGCCCGGTTTGAAACGGGTACCCATTCCCATTTGATGAGAAAACTCCATCCCATCCCCAAACCCGTACGGGTAATGGGTACCCGTTAACCCGTAAAAGGAGTGGTTTGGGAATTTCGCTAATGTGGTTTGGAAATTTTGATTGATTGTCTTAAGTTTTTAAAGTAAGTACTGCTTCTGTTTTTTTTTCTTTTAGAATCACCTCTTTAAAAGTGAGTTAATGACCCAGCTACATTGGTCAATCATCCAAATGCATTGGCCCATTCGCTGCAGCTAGCTGCAAGCATATATTGGCCAACCTTAAACAGGACCACTAAACCAACAATATCCCTAACCAACAGTTATTCAACTAAGAAAAGAACAGAGAATCCACGTCTATAAATTGGTGTTTACACCATAAATTTTGTCTTGTACCACATTGGTGAGTTACAAGATAATCAAGGAGTTTATAAGGCCACACTCATTATAACAATTAATGTTGTTTAAATTGGGCCTTATGGATATTGATTTTAAACCCAAGTCACTAGCTCATTAATGAGCATGGACATGATTCAATAAGGGACATGGGCCTCTCGTAAGAGGCCATGCCATGCCACGAGATGGCATTAAAATTTCTAAGTATGAGAAGTCCATGGCCATGAATGAAGAGGCCATGCCGCCTCATAACCAAGACCAAACGACACAAAACATGTCCGTCTAGAATTTAGAAGCACATGCCATCTCAAGGAAGACCTCGATACGGTCAAAAATATTCTAAGTCTCGAGAAGGGCATGCCACTTCACGAAGAGGCCATGCCGCCCCATGACCAAGGCCTAATGACTGAAAAACAAACTAAGTCTGGAAGAGGTACATGCCACTTCAAGGAGAAGCACATGCCGCTTCATGAGAAGGGGCATGGACGCGAGACAAGATGAGACGTCCATGCCACTTCACGAGAAGGGGCATGGACGCGAGAAAAGATACTAAGTATGAGAGGGTCATGCTGTGTCACGAGAAGGGCCACAGACATGACTGAGAAGTCCATGGCTGCGAATGAGGAGGCCATGTCGCCTCATGATCCAAAATATACTAAGTCTGAGAAGGTCATGCCGCCTCACGAGAAGGGTCATGTGCATGATTTAGAGGTCCATGGTCGTGTCATGTGATGGCCATGGACGCGAAGCAAGAAGCATTAGAAATGATTGAAAATACTAAGTATGGTAAGGCCATGCCGCCTCATGAGAGGGGCCTTGTGCATGATTGAGAAGTCCATGCCACTTCACAAGAGTGGCCATGGACACGAATGAGAAGGGCATGGTGATGGAGCATTATATCACTAGTGAATATGTCTCAAGAGGTCCATGACCGTTAGACAAGAAGGCCATGGACATGAGTAAGAAGTTCATGGCCGTAAGACAAGAAGGCCATGGACATGAGTAAGAAGTCCATGGCCGTGAGGCAAGAAGACCACGACCCCCTTTGCGAGACACCACATGCTCGTCAAAAGACTAGCATGGCACGAGATTCAGAACAAGACCATGCAAGGCAAGCTATACTCCAAAACCCACGACAGTTCCAAGAGAGGCACCTAGGCGGTTGAAGGAGTAACCACCACTCCGAGGAAGCAAGGAGCGGTTCTTTTTGGGAGTTATCCAAGAGGCGGTTTTCTACCGAAGAGGGGGGGCGGTTCTTTGTAGCAGTTATCCAACAAGCGGTTTTCTATGGCGGTTACCTCCTCGGGGCTATAAATAAGAGGAGGGGTCGACAGAGACAAAGGTTCCAAAACCAACACTCTGACACACATGTCAAGTTTATCCTTTACCTTTTGTCTATCATGTAGCCATATATGTAGTTCGTAGTTTGGAGCTCTCGCCGAACCTCCATAGGAGTAGAAGTAATTTAATTTAGATCTCGTTCCCAGAAACCATCAATCAAACACCCTCGTTCGAACTTTGTTTGAAGAGGTGTGAGTCGTGTCTTAGTAATCGTTGTCCATAGAAGTCAAAGGTGCAATCCATCTCAATTCAACAAGAGTTTTCTCGCCGGGAAACAATTGGCCATTTCAGTGATTGTTTAATCCCAAACAAGGACGAGAAATGACAGAGTTGTATACGAAACAGATTTCCTACTCCTCGAGCACTCTTCGTACTATATATACTAGCAAGCATATTAGTTCTTATCAGTCTGCATACCAAACGAGGAGATGGAAGGGTAGAACGGGTAAAACGAGTACCCTTAATACCCAAACGGGTATTAACGGGTAACACGCGGGTACCCATTGTAGAACTTCTCGATCCCAAGTCCCATCCCGTAGAAAAAATTAGGGATATTTGGGTACCCGTTACCCTCAAAAAACGGGACGGGTATGGGTATATCCGAATACCCGTTTCCCGTTGCCCACCCCTAGTTTGGTCCGATAAATCACGGTCTAGACCAGGCTAGACCATGAAATCAAAACATCAAATATTACAGACCATGGACCAGACCAGACCATACTTAATGATCTACGGTCCGGACCAAACTATACGGTCTGGTTTGGACCATTGTTTTTCTAACGATATGGTCTATTTTCCCAACCCTACTCTAGACGAGAACTATTGTCTTCTTCTCCAAAACTCTCCTCCCACCACCGAAAATGGCCAGAAAAAAAAAATAGAAAAATAAAGTTCCCAACGAGTCTCACCTTTTATGACGACGAGGCTTCACTCATTATCAGTAAGAGGCTGACGACTTTTTGTTCTATTTTAGCATTATTATTATGATTATTGTTGTGTTTTATTTTCTTAGCTCCTACAATGTATCAATATTCAATATTAATGCACATCAAGAATGCCAAATCAACCCCAATTGAAAATAAATTATTATGGGCAGATGGTGAACATCG